TGAGGAAATGTGGGAAGGACATCATTGAGGAACAGAGTCTCTGCACTGTACTTCCTTCCTCCCCTCCCCTCTCCTCCAGAGACATCCCGGGAGCCACAGCTCGAGAAACATTGGCCAAAAGATTGGCAACTGACTTGATGGCTTAAATATCCAGCTCAGACCAAGCTGTGCCTAGAAGACAAACAAGCCCTCAGCAGCACGAGTGAGTAGTGATGCTCCACCATATCGCATCCTCAGGGCAGGAAAGATGATTCACAAGGGGTACAAAAGAAATCGCACAGCTGAGTCATAAGTGTCCCTACTAGGTCTTCCATGGCTTCTGCAACATGATGTCATCAGGCAGAAAATTAATACGTTACCCATTTCTATGTCACTTCTTGGCTTGGGTTTTCTGCCCCTTCCCTTTCTCCCTCAAGGCTGATTCACAGAGATTTTTAGTTCCTATTAAGCTTAGTGAGACAAAATAATTGCATTTGGGAACAAATCTGACAGCTAGTGAACAGAATCCTTTTTGTCAGCACTACCAGGCACTGCAGCCTCAAATCCACCACCCAGCTATCAGATGCTGGCACGAGCATGGCTGGGTCTGACTACTAAAGAAAGAGACCTGTGTCCTAAAGGAGGGCTGATATTTGTGGCTTCTCTGTCTGTCACTAATCAGTCCAGAGGAGGCATATACGCCATTAATGCTTGTCAGCACAGGCAACAGGATGGGTTTATCCCGCTTAGCTTGTTACTGCCTGCCCCGATCCATCCCCCTGCATTTAGCTGTGTTATTAAAGCCACCACTTACAGACGCTAAACTGATTCATTTTTGGCCAATTACCTTAACTGCGACAAGTCTCCTATTTCACCTGTCCCACCTCTTGCCATAAATTAGTCTGATATGGACACTCTGGATGAAGACAGACCATGTTTAAATTTCAGGATGTACTACCCTCCCAGGATATTTGAGGCAGCATCGTATGGTGACACAGCAAGGCTACAAAAGCTTCATCTGTGAGGTCTTCCAGTGACTATCCTGGGAACCTGGCAATGCCATGACAAAAGGCATATCTGTATGACTGAAATCCATGCAGGACAACACAAGCACCTCCAAGTTCAGCTCTAAACCATGGCGGCCTGAGCTCTGGCTGCCAAAGTAGCCCTCAGCGGGGGCTCGGGAAGGCCCATACGGCCAGCGCGACCACAGCGACTTGGCATCAGTGCCCATCCAGCAAGGCTATTGCCAGCTAGCCCCTCTTTCCTGGCTGCAGCAACACTTCCCCTGGCAGCCCAGCTACAGCTCAAACTATCCAGTGCTACCACGGTGTGTGTGGGTACAAGACGATTTCCAGTCCTGGACCAGCGAGTCGGATCTCAGCCAGCCACACCGGGATCCTGAGCCTTCTGCATGCAGAAGCAATGATGACCCCTTTTCTATCTGGAGGCAGCCCAGCGCCCGCCAGCGAAGCTGTAAATGCACCACCTGTCAGTTTTTGCAAGACGCTGACCTCCGCTCAAACCACAGAAGCGGATCATCTAGCAATCTGCCATTCAAGACCAACTTCCAGTGCCTATTTTGCCAATTAAAAAGAAGCTAAAAATAGCGGGGAGGAAAAAAAAAATAAATCGACATGTTTGATTGTATTGTAAAATAAATGCTGGAATCAAAACTGCTGGACTGAGACATTACTGACAGCAAAAGAGAAATTCCTGAGAAACACAATCAGCTCAAAGAGATGCCACTTCACAAGATGGAAAGCTCATTAATCTCATCTAGGTTGCTGAGTTAACTCCACTAACTTCATTGCAGGCCCTGGCAGCAGTGAGGTCTTCCCCTACACCTACCCCGCTGGCACCCAGAAGACCAGGTGTAGGATACTTTCAGTGATGCCCATTGATTTACTAGCTCCTTGGCCAAATGTCCAGGCTGCCCAACTAGTCCAGGCACCACAAAAACAGGGCCACCTAGTTTCCTCCCCACTACTTGTTTTGTGTTGTACTGACCAGGCCTGCATCTGTATCCATCACATCCCCATGCAGAGCTTATCTTCTCCCTCCCAGGAGCAGACTAAAACCAGTTTGAGAAGCTGGCACCTATGTGGAAGGGTCACCCAGGTGAAATGTCTTGCTGGTGCTATAATACCTCTGGTAATAACCAAGGTAATGTTGTTCAAAGTCAATTTGGGCAGCTCTGGGTCAACTGCAGTGACGGCAGTGCGCACACACGCAATCCCAGAAGCAGCTTGCAGTGCCTGCAGCAGGATGGGGCACCCCTGTGCCACTTCCCAGCAGGAGGAGGATTTTCAAAGGAATAAACATCTGGCTGGTGGGTTTTCTGGGAAGCAAATTCTTGGGATCAAGCCAGCATTTTACTTATGCTATCAAATAATTCAGACAGCCACTAAGGGTAAATTCCCTCACACTTCATTAGCTTGGTGAGCAGCTTCATACTGTTGAAGCAGAGGACTGGAAACAACAACATACAATGGCTCCTTGTGCGTTGTTTGCATCTCAGAGAGAACAGCCTCATCCCTTGTTCACCCACAGCTAGGGACAGCACAAGCACGGAAAATCCTCCTGTCCTTAAAGAGTTTTTCATCAGCAGGACCTTGCCCTGGAGTAAGCTTGTGTGCTGGGGAGGGAGAGAATGCTCCCCCCCCACAGAACAGGGCCAGGGTATGTCTCCATACAGAACCTCAGCGCTGACATGCCAACTGCTCCCAGAGCTGGGCAGGATATTTTGGTAAATCCAGGGAAAACTAGTGCTGGCAGGGAGGCTAGTCCCCGCCATCTTCTGTTCTTATAGGAATTACCTTTCCTATTTGCAAGGAGCTGCCTTCTGAAACCAAGTAAGAAACAAGATCCTCTGCAGTTTCTCCTCAGCACCTCCCTGCCGTATTAAATATGGCAGGTGAAGCACGCAGGAGATTTCTGGTAAGGAGGAAAGATGAATAGGTGCAAAGAGTTCAAAGGCCTCTCCTCAGGATTTGCCAGCTGCTTGCCGTCCATCTGGAACAGAGCGGATCTCAATCTCCCTGTGCCTCCAACTCACAATATTCGCCTTTCCCTGTCCCACAGTCCTGCCCCTCTCAGTAAACAACAGCTCGCAAGCTCATTAAACATGCAACTCAAAGGCCTTGTCAACCTTGATATAATTCTTGGAAAAGGCCCCAGGTTTTCAAACACAAGCTACCCTGAATAACTCTATTCTGCAGGACAGACCTGTTAGACCATCATGCAGCCCATCCCGTCCCTCAGAAATTGCAACTCTTCAAGTCAAACCCAAAGCACAGCTTTATACACGGCTTGGGATCCCAGGAACAGTTCATCTTGACTGCCCTAGGACTGCCCCTTGTTCCAAGAGGACCTCACACCATCTAACGGTCACATACGGTTAGTATTTTTAGATAAGCAAGTCAGAGGTCCTCCCAGCTTCCTGCAGACTGAGAAGTGACTGGGACCAATTTAAACATGGCGAGATCATTGTAGACCCACCACGTGCCTTGCCAGAAGGTGATATTTTGAGATCTGCAATTAAATCTAACCTGTCATCATGCCACCTGTCAGCTCAAAACAGAAACCACCCCAGGTGAATGAAATAGTAGCAAAAGCACATGTGGCACAGTTAATACACCTGCACCTTGAGTTAACACACCTTGAGAGGACTGAAGAAATTCTCGTCTCTGCTTTGGAAGGCAGTTTAATGGAGGAACCAGAACGGACCTTGATGAAACTGCTTCATTCAAGGTAAGGGATGCAGGGAGTCTTCAAAGGTGCAGCTTCAGTACAGCTTTTCCCTCTGTAACAGATCTCTATATGCTTTATGCTGAGAGCACTGAAAGACCTTTCGCACACACCCTCGTTCCCCTGGCACAATATGCAGCCTCCAAACTGGCATGAAATTCCTGGTTCAGTACAGGAAAAAAAAAGTCAAGAGAGACTGATCTTTGGCAAAGTAGTTCCTTTCTCTGCAGCAGCTTCAAGGGGCAGCCATTTGCACCGTGATACTGCCCAGAGATGGGCACACTGAAAAAAATTTCTGTCCTGATCAAAAGGTAAATATTATTAGGAAGTAGACATCCAGAACCCCAAGTAGCTTTGAAAGCTCATCCACACCGACTTGCAAACGCTGGCTGGAAGTTTCACAAGTGCAAGTACACCCCTGAGATTTTTATTTCTTGCTGTTAAAAGCACCTTGACAAGAGCTGGTATCTCAGAACTCCTACGCCAGCCTCTGGCTGGGCCCTGAGCACAGAGGGAAGGGAAACAAAGTTGTTTAAAGAAATGTTAATCCAATTTGATCTAACCATGAGTAACATAGAGGCTCGGCTCTGGTTAGGAATCAAGGTCTGTCCTTGTTTAGTCTGTGTGTCTTCCTCCAGGACTTGTTAACAGAGCAAAGCATGCTATCGTGCCTTTTCACTGAATTCTGATCACACAAGACTTCCTGCACACAGCTGGGGAACGAGATGGTTTACATAACAGTTACAACTATGGCCTGATATCCCCCTAATTTGAGCTATTCCTTCTCTATTGGAGCCATAATCTTACAGCTAACATATATAATTCTCCTCACATAAGTAGCCTCTTTTAGGTTCAGTGAGACTACTTAAATGAGTAAAATGACAAATGCTGCTTAAGCACTTGCAGGTTTGAGGTGAGCTTTCTCCAGCTGCATCTACACCGAGGGCCTGGGAGCCCTTCTCAGATCCCAAGTCTGGACAGAACCTCCAGCCCTGCAAGGACGAGCCGAGGGTACCGCCGCTCTGCCCCTCCGCTCGACTGCCACTGGAAGGAAGCCCAGGAGTGGGTTGGAGCCAAGGTGGTTTCTCGGTGCTTCTCTGGTCTGGATAAGCAGCGTATTAGTTTAAACACAGTCTCCTTCATGACACGCGCAAGCAGTATTTAGCACAGTGCCCCCTTGCCCAGCCTGCACTGAAATACAAGCATCATTCGGAGACATCGACATTAGGTAAATCATATAAGCTGGAAATCAGGACAACTTCACGACTTACCTCTACCCATTTTCCATTGATCTCCATGAACAGGACACAAAAGGGGTCAGATTTGGAAGTGACATCCCTATCCAGAAGGTTTTGGCCACACACAGACAACTCGACTTTGCAAACGCAGTATTGGGTGCCGATTGGCCCCGCTGGAGTGGGGCTCACTGTATACGCCATGGACTCCAGCAGTAGCAACTCCAGACAGTCTGTGGGATGCAAGATAAAGCAGAAAAACATTAGTGCAAGGAGAAAAGGCAGGCAACCACGCAACTGTAGGAAATGCTATGATGGCACAGGGGGTTGGGCACAGAGAGAGGTGGTCACATCCAGAGTCTCACACTCTTGCATGAGCTCTTTCCTGAAACAAAGTAAGTTATAAGCCTCTCTTGGTACCAAGCCTTCTGTTTTGACCAGTTATCCTCTCCACATGGATACTGTAAAAGGCAGATATCCTGCAGAGTGGGAGCCCAACAGCGTAACCACACTCTGTGGTGGTTTACCTCCATAAATAACAGAGATTTTCGTTTATTCCCCAAGAGAGTAGGAAGAAACAGACAGCGTCTCAGGCATGAAAAGGCAGACCTGAAGGTGGGCTTTGGAGCCTAAAAACTCATATAGCGCAGCTGTATGAGCTGGCTCAGTAACAGATATCACTGCCATTGCCACTTCCTATAAATACAGGTTTATGAGACAGCTCCACTGCCACCGGTCTCCCACCTCACGCCCAAGTTCCTTGCTCACTTCTGCTATTCTCCCTCACTGCGTTCGCAGGGATTGATGCTCTCTGACATTTACCCTCCCTTGCCGGTTTCTACAAGTGCCAACAATTACCTAGGGGAAGTGAGATCTTCACAGCTATCAGCAGAAAGGATCGAAGAAAAGGGGAAAGGAAAGCAAAAGGATATAGGGGAATGAAAGGTAAAGGAGCAGAAAGTGTGAGCTACACTAGGAGGAGATGAGATTGCTTGAACCCATCTAAACAGCCAATGCTAGAATAACACAGAGCAGAGAGTCTTACCCTACCCCTTAAGATGCACCCTCCGGCACACTCCACCTTGGAGTAATTTGCATCACCCAGCCGTCACACAATAACATATCAGACTCAAATACTTACAGACCAAGAGACTGCTCCTTGGGTACATAAACACCAGGGAGCGCTGGGTTACAGAGGTCTTCCAGCTCAGGAAGGAGCTGCCTTGCCAGGGCAAGAGGGACGTGCAGACAATGTAGGCTGCACATGACCAGACCTGCCCGACTGCAGGGCTCTCGCAACAGGGAGAGGGGCTGCCCAAAGCCACCAGCAGGAGAGGACCTGCCTGCCCGAGGAAGGGTCTGGCCTGCAGTGGGTCTCAGCCCCTCTGTTTGTAAGGGCTGGCACTTGTGCAGCACCCGAGTGCTGCTGCAAAGTGATTTGCCAACAGGCTCTCGGGACTCAACCGCTCTGCTAACCAGGCAGCCAGCTCCAAGACAGGCTGCGCTGTCCCCCCCGTGCACCAAAGGCTCGATGTTTCGTGTGCACACATATGCGAACGTCTGTATATACATGCCTATACACGCACACAGAGCCCAGGGTGAGCATGTCCAGCCCATCCAGAAAATAAATATGTCATCACAAGCATGGAGCTCTCCAGTGTGGCTTGAGATACCTGGAGGTCACAGCCACACCATCAAGCACTCTGCCACATCTCCTACCAATGTCTCCAGAAGACGCTTTCGAATCTAAGCAGGGGAAGGGTCCCCTTTTCTTCCCTTTCTTTGCTTCCCCTTTTCCCTTCCCTTTGCACACACACACATACCTATCTATACACACACATATATGGGGATGTTTTTGGTTTTTGGGTTTTTCTTTTTTGCTGGGGGGTGGGGAGGGTGGGTTACAATCCCATAACATTTTTTCAGCGTGAAAACTGTTCTTCTGACATCTTTTGAACGGTGGCAGAGTGGAAATACGACTCAAAGCAGAGGAATTTCTCCCTGATCTCATGGGAGGGGCAAGCTCTCTCATTTAGCCATTCCAGCAAGTCCCATGGGACCAGCCTTGTATTCCCAGGCCATCTCTGCTGGGAAACGGATGAATTTGTCCCATCCTTGCTCTGCTGCTGACAGAAAAGCAACAAAGCTACTCTCTGTGCAGTCCACTGGTGAGCACAGGGCAAGACAAGGACGGAAAGAAACTATCCTCCCACAAATGGAGTACATTAACTCTGCTGATGCCTTGGTTTTGTCCCATTTAGGGCAAAGGTTCCTGGAAATCTCAAGTCATCAGCCCACCATACAACATGCTTCCAGGCTGTCACAGCAAGGTGAGACGCAAAGCCAGGATGGGCCCAAGCCATGACGGCCAAACTTGAATTCTATCTCCAGTTTGTCATGCAGGAAGAGGTGAGAGCTTGAGGATCCAGCGAGGTCCTTGAGGTTGGAGGTGGGAAACTCCAATCCTGAGCTCTGGCTCAGTCCAAATTCTAGCCTGGCCACCAGGCCAGAGGGGAAGCAGTGGCTCTCATATCAGTTAAAAAGTCACACTATTTTGTTCACAGAAGAACAAGACAAATGTGACAACCACTATATGACCTGGTGCATGGGCTGATTCACAGGACACTGGTAGAAAACATCTGTTATAATAAGAGCTCAGGAAAAGTCTACTATCAAAGCTATTTGCGACAGATAAATGCGAACTTTACATTACCATTACGGCAACAACCCCATCCATCTCCCACATGACATTTCTGCGTTCTGATGTGCAGATTACTCGGCAAAAAACATCAAAGGTATTCAAGAGAGAAGAGGGAAGAGAGAAAGAAAAAGAAAGAAAAAGCATTTTCTAATTAAGTTATATCAATAATCCTTTCTGGCTGGGGTTACTAATGGACAGAGCAAACTGTTTTCAGCAGCTGGTTCGAAACCTCTCTCCATATCTCTCTTCTTCAAGAGCAGCCCCTGGCTCACCCACTTTATCTTAAAACCTTAAACATCACCTTCCTCCACCTCGATAAACCATCTGCTTCTGTCTGGGAATAAAACCTTGCTTTATATATTTGTTTATCTTGCCCAGGCACAAATATTTACAAATGTTTGCACTCTTTGGCTGCTACGAGGAAGCTCTGGGGCTGCTCCCTTCCCTTTCGGTTTAATCTTCCAAGCAGTGGATGTGCTAATCCCAACCACGCATTTTTGCGGGAGCAGAGCCCAGGCACCACCATAACACAGGGCTGCCGAAAACTGCCTCCTGGGACCCACAGGCAAACTGCCAGGCAAATAAAGCAGAGCACATGTTGGCGTATGGATGGCATGCATCCCCTCTCCTCCTTTTCCCCTGCCCAGAGCCAAAGGCAGGCTTTTGCACTCAACACAGACCTCTGCTCTGAGCAGTCAGCCTCAAATATCACAGTTGCGATTAATATTGAGTGAATTCAGCAAAAGAGGAAAAAAAGTCATACTTCCAAACCTCTGAGCCATGACACGTGCATGTCCGCACATCTCTCGAAACAGAAACCTCCCCCCTTCCTGGAATGGGGTTTGCTCTCATCCAGAACAACCCCTCTCATTAGTTTAACGCAGTCATTCCCAATTTTCAGCAGTAAGAAATCCAAAACGGCAACTCATAGGAGAAACAGGAATTTCAAGGAGCAATATCCCTTTGGCATTTAAAATGATCCAGGACACAGAAGGTTTCAGAGACACATGGAAGAAAAACAATCCTCCGGTCCCATTTACCTCGAAGCCCTGCCTGCAGTGGGGAAAAAGTGATTTGAAACGTCACAGCCTTATGGGATCAATCATCTTCTCTTTCTTTCAAGCCCATGCTGCCCATTGCAGCTAAAACAAAGATTTTTTTGTTTTTAATACACAGATGATGCAATCAAAGTCTTAAAATAGCCAGGCCTGTTCTATTTATGCTGCTGTTTGTCTGCGGCTCCCTCCTAAAAGCAAACACAGGGCAGCAGTGCTGGCATGAACCTGGGCTGGCAGACGCAGGGAGAGCTAGGTTGGGTTTTTCCATCTCTCCTTCCCCCAAATCTCACCTCTGCTTCAGAAAAAGCGGCGGCAGCAGCAAATGACTCAGTGGAAAAAGCTTTTTCCCAGGGCTGCCTGGCACACTACCACTCTCTCTCTCTCTCTCTCTGAGAAAGAGGAGAGCCACGTTAGGCAGAGCTCCCGGTTAACATGGGCAAGGGGAAGAGGAGATGAGCAGCCAGTCCCTGCTCCTGGGGCACGTTAGGGCACAGTGCTGGCAAGACTCGACTCTGCTGGGAAGGATCCACTCCCAGCCCAGATGCAAAAGGCACTGCGGGTGCCCAAAATCGGAAATTCAGACACTGGCTTCTCCCTTTTCTCTGCCTAAGGATGCACAGGACCAAGCCACCAGAGTGAGGCTCTTTTAAGTCATCTATCTGGCCCTGAAAGTCTATCCCCCGTCTCTCAGGTGCCAAGGACAGAACCCTGTATTTGGCCCTCCAAGAAAGCAAAAGGCAACAGAAAGACCCAACGCATCCCCACACAGCCCCAGCTCCAGTAAAGACGATTTTTCCACAAAAGAGGGGAACTCACACTCCGTGGCCTCTGTGCTGACAGTGCCCAGCAGTTGGTGGGATGTTGCAGGAAGGGTTTCATCCTGGTATCCCAAGGCTAAATATCTGTGCCTGAGCATGGGCCACAACTTGGCTTCACATATTGGGAATGAAGCTGATGTCAGCTCCCCAGCATCAGTCAAGACAGACTGCGGTGGGCTGGACTGACCTGAGTAAAGCCATCTTTTAATCCACAGGCATCACCAGTATTTGGCTAGATGCCCTCCACAGATCTGCTGGTCCAGCTAGCCCAGTCCACAGAGCCCAACTCACCATTAGCGATGAAGACGTCAAAGAGATAGGTCGCTCTGCAATAACACTAAGAGGTACTGCAGGGTGCAGAAGGCCAAAAACACCTGTGATGCTCCAGCGGAGCACAGACACGTGTGTAGGTCCTACCATAACATATACCCACATACGCCATCCTGCCTTAGTGGTCGTCTTGCCCAGCTCTCCAAGGGGAAGTCAGCCACAGGACCAGCCCCCTCTCTCCTGGCAGAGGTACATCAGCAAAAAAAGACTTATTACCCCTAGCACCTTTCTTCCCGCTACACATACTCCCTGGGCCACCTGATGCCAACCAGCACAAATCCACTAGCTTCCCTGGGAGACAGGGAACTGATGCCAAGCAAGGACTT